TACATTCAAAGTCATGGCAGTCGAGTTTTCGGGTTTTTCCCGGAGTGAGCAAGGCCCCCTCCAGAGGCCACACAAAACTTCACTGCATCTAACACCAGGTGCATGCGCCAAGGAGGCACATGAACAGATATATGAATCAAGACAGTCACAGCATTCTATTGCCTGGTCGGTTTAAATGTTTACAAATGGGAGATTAGTTGTCTTGACCCTGAATCCTCCTTCCACAAATTCAGCATATACCACAGGAGCAAAATTAACTAAAACCTTCATATGTCCAAGATATACTGGACTCATCTCATGTAATTGGTATGAACATGCACAGCTATCAGTGGAAGCATTTTTTCAAAGGTATGTAAACGCTCATGTCAGTTTCCTTCATGTTCAACTCTGATGAAGTACAAGAGAGTATTGACTACTTCCAAGTAGTTCATCCAGTACTTGAACATACCTTGATGGGAGTGTTTGCACAAATTCTTGAAGCGGAGTGGCAATCATTAGCAGATGAACTAATAGTTCTCTCGCTGCATTCCTTCCCACTTCACAATCATTGTTTCTGAATGCAACAGCTATGCCACTGGAAAGTTGGTCAACAACATCATAATCCAATCCTTTGCTTGAACTAGACAACCACACAATGAACTGATTTATCAATATATGCTATATTGCTTCAACTGTTATCTTGTGTGATCTGATAGCATGGTTGTACAGTTTTCCTTTCATTAAGTTGGTGGTGGTATTTTCTGAAAGCAATCTGCTTTCTGTCCAACAGTCTTCAAGTCCTGAAGCAACAAAATGCTGACCAATTGCTGTTAGGTAAACCATAATAACATGGAAGCCTCCCAGTCAAATGATTACTCCTTCAGTCTCTTCTGGCTGAGACCAAACTAGTACATTTGCTTTGCAATACAATATCTGATCAAGTGTTATGACTGTGTGCTATTGTTCCAGGCATCCTGCAAATATTTTACATTGCACGATGGCAGTCCAAATGGCATCATGCTCAGATGCCAGTGCAGGCAATATGGGACAAAATCCAACAATTGATGGTGGTGAAGTGTCATCAGAAAGAAACTCATTAAATTCTGTCCACCCTCATACGACAACATTCTCCTGGTTGTCGGCTGATGTTCTACCTAGTATCCATGGTAGCTTTGCTGGCAACTGTTGAACAGCTGTATTGTTGAGCTTTCCATTCATGTTACTAGCCATACTATGGATAGGTGGTTTTAATGACTAGTTATGGGTTATCATTGCTAGAATAAGCAAAGGCTATCAGGAACACAATTTTGGGCTTGCTCTTCATTCAAGTTTCTGTATCCCTTCATACATGCTATAACTTTCAAATCTGCTTTAATCTTGAGAGCAACATAGTACAAGTTTTGTGTTTCTGAAAACTTTTCTCTGAACTGCAGGCCAGTGGCCTCCTCGTCATTTTAATGCAAAGTTACAACTGCTTGTATGGCTTTACCAGACCAGTTATCACAGTTCAGAAGTCAAGGTGTGGAAGATTTGTGTTTCTTTGGTGCTGAAATTGAATGGCTGTCTTGTCATAATCCTGAAGTTCTTGCTTCATTTGTTTCAGTGTGGTCAGAGGATGTTCACCACCGTCATCTTCTACTAAATCACAGTATCTTTCAAGTATATCTTTCAGACTGTACACATTCTTCTGTGCGAAATGAGCATCTAGTTCATCAATCACTTGCTTCAGGAGAAAGAAGAATATCTTCTTGCACAATCTCCATATCCGAATGAGAATGAGAGACTTGTTGCTTCTTCTATTCCTCCTGCCTGCATTCAGAATGGTAATGTGCCTCAACCTTACATCTTCAACACCAGTTTGGAAACGCAACACTTCATTCTTCTCTTCCATGTTGTGTATTGCCTTGACTGATTCAAATGACAACACTTGATTCAGTTTCTTCACATTAGAATATTTCTGGCAGAATATGCACATCCTCCAGTGAACTGTTGGAGTAGATGAGCTGCACTTGATGTTGTTGGTAGGATTTCCCTTTCATCTTCTACTTTGCCCAACTTTCTTAACAGTCTCTCAATATGTCCTTTGTGTGTAAAAGAACTACAGCAAGAACAGTGCCAACTGAGGTTTTTGGAATGTTGCAAACCACAACACAACGTGATAGTCTGTCAAGAATACTGCCATAACAAGTGCTGAATTCAGCAACTGTCCTATGTTGAATAAGTGCCTCATTTATCTGCACAATTCCAGCATGTGTACTTTGGCTAATTGTTGACTATGAACCTACTTCACGATACATGATGCATCTTGTAGATTCTAAGATGTACCTCCCATGCTTTGCTGGACTTGGTGATGCTATGAGCTCCATTGTAACATCTGCTTAAGGGTGATAAGGGCAAGTCTCTTTGATTATCCAGTAATGAACAAAACTGTAAATTTGTGGCAGCCATCTTGGAATCCAACATGGCTACCATGGCAGAAATGTTATAATTGATCTCCTCAGTTCATACAATGTTGGTTTTGTCATTAGAATAAATTTTCTAACCCTACTGGGGGCTGAAATATTGACCAAAATTTGAATTAATGGCAGGCAACTTTGATTCCAACATAGCAGCTACACACACTACTTAACAGATTAGCAACATGAATTTTCTGACCTGGGTAGGCCACCTCTACCTGAAACACACTATGGCTACTTGTGGCAACAGATTGCCCATGCGGTGATTCCTTTACTCTTCTTTTTTACCTTACTGGTTTAGAGAGGGGGAATTGGATAACAGTCTTCAAGTACGTGAGAGGTAGCCAACATGGTTTCATTGTGGGTAGGTCTTGCCTGACCTCATTTCCTTCTTTGACCAGGTAACACATCACCTGGAAAAAGGAGAAGAGGTGGATGCTGTGGCAGGCCAGTAGGGGGTGCTCTGGCACTAAGCCACCCACCTCACTGAGCCCAACCAAAAACCAAGCTTTGGATGCCTCTGCAGGGGTACCAACTTCTGGCCAACCCCCTTCTTGGATCATACCCACAAGCCTGGGGTGACCACTGCCACCACCCAGGGTCTGGTCTTTGTCCAGGCTCTGTGCTTCCTTGGGTTTCACAAGCCTTGTAGACCTTGTGGGAACTGGGGGAACATCTGTTCACCAGGGTATCCCAAGGGAAGACAAGGTCTGATGATCACAAACTGCTGGAAGACTGTTTTAGACTGGACATAAGGAAAAACTTTTTTACCATCTGACTCTCCAGAGTCTGGAATAGACTACCCCCAGAGGTGGTGCAAGGACCTATTCTGGATACCTTTAAGAAACACCTGGATGCTTATCTTGCTTGGGTGATCTGACCCCAGCTGACTTCCTGCGCCTCGGGCAGGGGGGATGGACCCGGTGATCTCACAAGGTCCCTTCCAGTCCTAATGTCTATGAATCTATGAAAGTCAGTTACAGAGAGGATGGAGATGGACTTTTCTCTGTGGCTGTAGGGGACAGGAGTAGGAGCAATGGCCTCAAGCTTCTGCAGGGGAAATTTAGTTTGGAGATTAGAAGGAACTTTTTTGACTATGAGAGTGGTCAAGCATTGGAACAGACTGTCTGGGAAAAATTGTAAACTCTCTGTCCTTGGAAGTTTTCAAGAGCAGGTTAGACAGACACTTGGCTGGGATGGTTTAGTCAGGGATGATCTTGTCTTGAGCAGAGGGCTGGACTAGCTGGACTAGGGCTGGACTAGATAATTTTGTGAGATCTCTTCCAGCCCTGCTTTCCCATGGTCCTATGTTTGATGTTTAATGTTTGATCTATTAATGATACCATAAACCTGGGCTGAGGGCATGTCTAACCCTCTGCAGTGAGGTTTGAGGGCAGGTGGGAAAGCAGTGCCAGTGCTACAGATTACTTTGAAGGGCACACAATTTTGTCTCTGGTGTGCAGGGCCACTGCTCTGTTCCCAGCTGGTAGAGTTCTGCCACTGCAGAACAACAGGGTGATTGTGACTGGACGCTGCAGGCCCCCTCCCAGGACATTGCTCTGAACCACATGCCTCTTCTTTCATTTGCACATTCAGAAATCAAATACCAACAACCCTCATCCCACCAGGGCATTCTAGTCACCAGCATTTGTGCAAACTTGGAGTCCTGACCAAAGGCATCATGTTTCACAGACACCAATGATCATTGATCAGTCACTCAGGCCCAGCTTGATGTTGTAGCATTGGGTATGATTAGTGAGGGGGGAGACACAATTGGGTAGGGACACAACACCCTCCCCCCCAAAACACTGGAGAAGCCCATTCACTCAGCACGTAATTACTGGTAGCAGCAACCCTATCATCTTCTAGCAAAGTAATGTGGAGCTGATGGGGAAAATTTGGGTTGGGGAATGATTCCTTATCACTTGCCTTCACAACCTTGATGTCACATCAGTTTTTGCCTTCATTACATCCTTCAGGAATGATGCTGAACTGCCTCGAGTCAGTCAGGATTCTCTTCATTACAGTAGTACTCTGGGGAGATTTGTAGTGAGAGATCACCCTTGCTCTCAATAGACAAGACAGAGGGTGGGAGGGGAAGCTGGGAAACGGAGTGAGAAAAGAGCTTGTCCCCCTATTACTCAGTGTGTCTTGATGTATGTTTAAAAAATATTTCACTAGATCTGAGCCACCAGTCATTGACCATTTGTTAGTTACAATGAGGGCCATGCTGGTACCAGTCATATCTCAGCATCTAAGTAGAGAGCACATATGGCTCTATCCTTAGTTGCTTTGAGATGTAGAGTACTTTTACCTTCTTTGCCTGTATAGCACTGTACAGGCCACAGGCTGTTAGGGCCACGGTCATGTTTGGACTTCCTGACTCTGTGGAAGGCAACAACTTCCATGTTTTTCTCCTTTGGTCAAAATTTCCTTGGGCACCTTGCACTCCATCTCATGTCCTTGCTTATGTAGGTTCTTTCCAGGAACATGCTGGCTTATCAGGGCCCATTCTGTAGACTGTATGAAGCAGTGCAGTGACTGCTGCTGTTTTTGACTTGGCAGGTTGACACTGATGACGTCCTTACAAAGGAAGAACAGATCTATCTGCTGATTGAAGCAAAGGAGCAGTGCCAGAAAACCATAAGAATCCAACTAGAGAAACCCAAAGGTACCATGGCAGATTTGCCAGGCATAGCCAACAAGACAAGGGAGAACTGGCAGACTCATGCAGTGTAAAAGCCTGTTTCCCCTGAAGTCAAGGGCAAGGATTTCACCCCTGGGCCCGATCCAGGAGCTGCTGAATCCAAGGAAAGTCTTTTCATTGACTCCAGTGAGCACCTTGGTTTGGTAATTCTTTGGGGCAGGCCCCACATTTTTGTTCTGTTCCTGCCTAATACTTAACACAGTGGAGTCTGGAGCCAGGACTGGAGCCTCTTTTTGCAGTTATCATTATCAACCTGATTTGTTGCTCTCAACTTCCAGGCCTCATCCTGAGCCAGCTGGTTATTATACTCCATATACACACATAAAACAGATTCCTTAGAGGAACCCTGAGGCCTTTCCCACTCTAGAGTGTCAAGGCAGGTGGGCAGATGTGCCATATCTCCTCCAACCACCAGAAACCATCCAGAAACTTGTGTTACCATGTCAGATACTTGCAGAGTCTGGATGTGTCCTCTTTTGTGCTTTTGCCTAGTGGAGGGTTGATATTGCAGGGTGCATAGAGGCAGCCAGGGTGTGCGTATGTGTGGAAGCTAAAGACAGCTAGATGTACCAGCTCAGTGGTAGGCAACCCCCAACACAAGTGCCCGAATGTGGCACATGAAGACATTTTGCTTGGCACATGTGCCTTGGGGAGGACAGCAGGGAAGGGGCTGGGACTGTGCTGCCACAAGGATCGGGCCCCTTGCATCTCCCCCACCATCTACCTCTGGCAAACCGACACCTTACAAGTTGAGGTTGTAGGTGTTTTTGGCAGTCTGCTCAAAGATGTTGCTGACCTCTGGACTAGCTGGTAGTCAACAGGCATGGAGACAGGACCACAGGACTGGTTGGACTGGCGTGGGTTGTGAGTTCAGTCAACCTGGACTAGCATGGTTCCCTGCATCTTTGTACCATGGTAGCAGCCCTATAGCGTGCAGCAATTTAAGTAATACCATTGATAAAGTAGAGTGGCAGGCAGGCGATGGCTGTGATCACTGCTCCTGAGCAACTTAGAATTGTGCACATCTGATCTCATTATATGGTTTAACTGTCTTGTCTATTTATTATTTATCATACTCTTATATATCACTGAGTGGAAAGGGGTCCTATCTGGCTGGGACCATCAAATGCACTACAAATGTCAAATAAGAATAGTACTATCAATTAATGGGATTTGTCTTTGCTTCTTGGGCAGATACCAGCTGTTTTCCAGAGTGGGATGGAATTATCTGCTGGCCCAAGGGCTCTCCAAACCAACAGGTGTCGGTCCCGTGCCCAAAATACATCTATGATTTCAACCACAAAGGTAACTTCAGAATAACATGTGGTCTGCCTGAGCTTATTCCTACTGTCTTTGCAAGGTTAGTTGATGAGAATGGGTTTTTCAAAGGGACTTCAGAGAGAAAGGGAGCCAAATCCAAAAGAATTTCCCCTAACAAACTTCCAAGCCAAGGTGCTTTGATATTACCATGATGGACACAGCCCTGCTCAGACCAACCCCAGTTGGAAGGGAAGAGCCCAATGAAGGGACTGCTGCCACCACTGCTTGAACTGGCAGAACTATGTCAGGAGAGCCCTCTAGTGGAAATATGGCACATGGCAGCTGAAGGGGTATTTCCATCATAGCTGTGGTTTCACACCCCTAACACAGCTGGGCCAGTAAAGATGTGTCCCGTCCCCCCCCACGAGCTAAATCTTTGAGTGGTTTACTACATGTGGTCTGGTCTCTCCCTAGTGCCCAGCCTGACTACAGTAGTCTGCCATCTCCTAGTAGCCAAAAGACTCCCTCCCTAAGCCAAGTGTGGGGTTTGTGCTGTTGGCCATCAGTTTGATCCCATGGCTTGCTGCAGAAGGGTGGGCTTTGCTACTAAATACCTTGGGCCTGTTGAGTTTCTCTTGGCCACTGCTTCTGTCATGATCCCCGGGACTTCCTTTCAGGTCATGCCTACAGACAGTGTGATGCCTATGGGAGCTGGGAGCTAGCACTCAGCATCAACAAGACCTGGGCTAACTATACCGAATGCACCAAGTTCCTCGCCCCTGAGCACCGGAGCCGAGAGAAGGTAACTCACAGTTGGGGGTGGGATGGGGGAGGGACCCTAGCTGGGGCCAGAGGGTGCATGTTCCTGTGTGTGGGAGAAGGGCAGGGGCCAGAGTATCCAGAGCAATGTTTCATAGATTGCATAGACTTTAGTGCTGGAAGGGACCTCAGAAGATCATTGAGTTCAGTCCCCTCCCCCAGGGGCAGGAAGTCAGCTAGGGTCAAAGGATCCCAGCAAGACAGACATCCAAATGTTTCTTAAAAGAGTCCAGAGTAGGTGCTTGCACCACCTCTGGAGGCAGTGAGTGGTGCCCATTGCATACCTCCTGTGAGCTAAACATCTGCGCAGCCTCTCCCTTGTTCAGGAAGGAACTGTGTTTGCTCAGACGCCTCCAGCGACAGCCAGAAGGAAGGGGCTGGCTGATCCCTCCCCACCAACTCCTCTCAACAGCAGTGGGTCCTGTGTCTGCCTCTGCTTCTGGTTGACCACCCCAAAATGTGCTGCTCCCAACTGGCTAGGCACTAGAGCTCCTTCA